TGTCGTGCTGAGGGCACAGCTGAAACAACGTTAAAGGTGTCTAACGTAAGATGAAAAAGAATGTACCTATTTGTGTGGCCACAAACGTCCTAGACCTGCGGGCTGCTCCCCCGCTGATCTCCGGAGAGCGCAGCCTTGTAGCGCGGGAAGCTCAATACACGGTTGTGAGGTTAAGCAGTCATGGGCAGGACGTGACGATTCCTTGGGTGAGCCCAGACCCAGAGCATCATGTGTCGGCTCTGCATTTATGGAAGCCTCCTTGGATGGCGGGGAATGCCCATGATCTGCCCCTGCCTTCCCTTGAGGGCTGAAAACTCTACATGGAGCTGCCTTAAGGACGACATGCCGGGGGCCACACTTGTTAAAAGTCAAAGAGGACACCACACAAATAAGGCAACATCTCGACCCACACAAAACAATGGCCACAGTCAACCTAGAAATAGGCTTGACGTCTTCCTCCGAAGTCGGAGTACATCTGCCGGAGAGGCGGGGAACGAGTACTGCAAACAAATAAGCCAGTAAAACGGATGTACACGCAAAACTCAGGTCAAGGTAAAAGCCAAAAGTCCATTTTGGACGAACAACCGTGACTTACCGCCGGAATTCACAGCCGGTGAACAAGAAGAAGAAGAAGAAGAATCAGCTGACTCTTTGATATAGTAAGCATTCCAAGTCCATAATCTATCACTGACAGGATCACATGCTGGAGCATTGTGAACAGCATTCTTTGTTCCATGTCAACTGCCTCCACGTGATCCTTATAGGACAGGCTTCTATCAAAAGTGATATCCAGGTACCTCAGTTTGTTTTCTCTTTTAATGTTACTGTTATTAACTGTGAGGCTTGGAACCTCAGTTCTTACAATTCTATTGTCTAGAGAGCACCACAAAACAGCTGCCTTTTCTGATAGGATGACAGTACCCATTTTTGCTCACAAGTCAGTCACTTTTTCTACAGTTGCCTGTAGCTCTTGGGATATCCGTTGTCCATCATTCCCTTGCCTACATGCAAGAACATCCTCAGCAAATGCCAATATCCTTCCAACACCTGGTGCTTCAAGTTCTGCAGTCTTGCTTGTATACACGTTAAAGAGCACCGGTGAAATTGCAGAACCCTGGGGTAGTCCCGGGGCTATATTACATAGTTCTGAGGTCCATGTACCCAGGCGTAGGGCAACCATATGTGAATGTAGGAAAGCTGGTATCCAGTTCACAAGCCAGGGAGAAACCTCCTTCTCCATAAATGCAGATTTTAAAATATCATATCTGACTCTACAATAGGCATCCTCAAGATCAAGTGCTGCCACAACTGTCTCCTGTCTGTTCTAGAACCCTTCATAAACATCAAAAGCAAAAGTAGCTGCATTAGACCCTTCCGTGGCCGGTAACTAACTAAACCTTTTGGCAACAGTTCTTCCCTTTCCAAAAATATCTTTAGTTTAACAGCAATAATCTTCTCTAGCACTTTGCCAAAAGTGATTTGTAGGGTGATGATCCTGGAACCGCTGAGTCTTGAATGATCTTTGCCTGGTTTTGAATGAGAAATCAGGTTGCTGTGTACCCAATCCTGGGGTACTGAAGCTGTTCTGATGCTCTGTTAAAGTGAAATGCCATCTCTCTCAAGTCTTCATCACCCATGCTCTTCATGTGAGCATACCTCACTCTGTCTAGCCAAAGGCAGTGTCTTTTGCTTTTTGCAATACATAATTTATATGCTTTTTTTTTATTAATAAATAAATAAGCATTTTGTAAATGGCAACCAATGAAGGGTTCACTAAAATCGGAAGTGATTAGTGAGAATTATCATCGCAGCACTTCAGACAGATCCACAGGTGCACTGATCTCTTCCTCAAAAGCTCCTTAAGCGTAAAATGCCTGATGACACCTGTTGTGTGTTGATTAATCAAATGTCTTGCCCGCGGTGAGATTTTCCTTTCTTGCAGTTCCAGGTTTCACTCCCACGTCCATCAGCGAAGATGGGGATACAGAGTCATGCCCTTTGCTGTATTCATATTCACAGTAAGTGCTATGCATGACATTGATAATACTGCTTCTGTCCAGTACCAGACCAGCCATTCAGATGTGTTGAGGAGAAAGCTGCAGGCACTGCACAGCAGTCTGTCTGTAAAGAATAACACATGTCAATAGCCCTGCTGGATGTGTGGGGGGAAGGAAGAAGAAGTCAGAAGTCAACAGTTGTGCTGTGGGAACTTTCTAAGAGTTGCCTTACCTCCGGTATAGCTGGACCGATATGTTGTGGTGTACAGCTGCTCACTGGGCGGATCTCCTTACTCAGAGGTGCCATAGAGACCAGAAGGCTGCAATTCAAAGCCTGTCATGAATAATTATGGTTCACATGTGTTTGTATTACAAATACAAAAACTGTCCCTCACATTTAAAGACCCAAGTAATAATCTTGTTAAGTGGTTGAGTTAGGAACTGACATAACAGTCCTCATTATTCTCATAAGCACTTCATCCCAGTATTCAGCAGCCAGCACAGAGCTCCAATATTAATGATCCCAAACCCAGGCTGATCATATATTTGTCTTGCCTTTCTTCTGAGCCAAGAGTGTTGATAAGGTCCTCTGGTCTGTCCACACTGCATCCTTTCCCAACTGTTGTGATCTGTTCGCTCCTCTATGTTGCTCATGTGCTCCCTAAAGCCCTTGACCACACCTGCCTTGTCATTAATCAATTCACCACCGAACAAGCATACCATAAATTAGGGGTTGGCTAAAATCAAATGTGCTGGGCTGAAAAGCACCGATGCTGCAGCTTAGCTATAAAACACAAGGTGTCAACCACCCATTTAAGGTTGATGGCTGAAAAAGAAAAAATGGCTAGGTCAAGCCCTTGTGTTACCCAGTCTCATATCTTCCTCCTCTTCAGCATTTCAAGCCCTTAAACTCCATTACTGTAGATAATACATGCCTCAATGTCTGGTGAGAGTGATGCAGCGGGGAGTGATGAGGGGATCTGGCCGATGCTTGACACTCAGTGGAAAGGTAAGACAGATGTATAATGAGAATGCTATTGGCGTCATTGGTATTGGAACTCTGTGCTTTCTGCTGAAGATGGAGATGAAGCGCTTGTTGGAATGCCCCGAGTGCTGTGATGTCGGCTCTTCAATCAACTCAATATCTCTGTGATTGGCCTTCTCCTTCCAGCTGGTGACTCCTAAGTGTTTATATTATCTCTCCACTGTCTTCTTGGTCTGCCTCATAATCTACTCTCAAACAACTATTTTCTGCTGTTTTTGTTGCTGTTTTTTGACATTATCTCTGCATGCCCCAACCATCACAGTCTATCAGTCCTTATGATGCTGGTAACTGATGGTGATTGAACCAGTTGCTGCTTCCCATGCTCCACAATTTTCCTCTTTGATGGATCCACAAAAGTCATGCAACATGGCCATAAGAGATTAACCTTAGAATTTCAAGGCAAGTAGGAAACGGGCCATATTATCTTGTTTTTCTTTTTAGCATTCACTGGCTGTCAACTCTAGCAAAAAGTCCTGGTTGTTCGTCCACTCCTGGACATTGGTTTTGCTCCAGAACTTTTACGTTTTGAGTGCACACCCATTTTACAGATCTGGTTTATTTGTGTGCAGACTGTTGGTTCCTTGGCTGTTGCACTCTGACTTTAAAGAAAACGCTTTTGAAGAATGTGGAAGGTTGGGGGCGGTGGGGCTATTCTGTTTCTCTAGAATGGAGCCCTGGAACCCACACGCAGATAATCTGGCCACATTATGTCTTGGGTGATAAAGAATAACCGAACAAATAATCTCAACTGCATTCCAAACACTATTTTTTCTTCTTCTTTCTATCCCCCAAAGGAGCATAGGCCCTCAACCAAATCATGTCAAGCCTTTCTATCCTTTGCTTTTGCAGGCAGCTCAACCCACGTCCTCCCCATCTTTTTAACTTCACTCTTTACCTTCTCTCCTTTTGTGCATTTTTTTTTTGTTTGCCTTAATTTTTTTGCCCCTGTGAGTTCTAGTGCAAAGACATTCTAGTTATACTATTATGACGTTTTCTCGTCTTGTTTTGTCTTGGCTTATCCAACACAAGCATCATTTCTCCATCTCTTCGTCCACTGGAACTTGTTTAGTTCTCTCCAAAAGCTAAACATTATTCGATCACACCTTTTAATTCCCTCTATTCTGCACAGGCACCAATTAATGAATGTTTGTAGTTTATTAGGAATTGTTTCAGTTGTACTCCATATTTCCACTCTATACAGCAATACTGATTTAAAGTTAGAATTAAAAATGTTAAGTTTAATATTAGTTTTTTGTCTTTTGACCTCCACAAATTTCCAAATGCGTTTTGAAACTGAGTGTATTTGTACTTGTATTACTCGGTTATACTAATAGGATTTGTCCCCCCGTATTCCTTTGTGCCTTGTCTAATATCATATATCATCAAGATAAAGCTGTGTTAACTATCACAATGATATCTGGACACTAAATTATCAGTTGCTGATGACTGTTTCTTTTATGTTATGGGATACTCTGATTACTGTGGTTGCTTGGCATTTTTTGTAATGAACTTCTCTTTTTATCATACTGTTTTTGTTTTTTAACTGGGAAGTAGGAGGGGTCTTGCTTTATATTCAAGGAAGGTGCCAACTGAAACAAGTTGAAAACCACTGGTCTCCATAATGATGACAAGATAATGTTTTTTGTCACGCTAAAATCATTGGATCTGTTCACGGTTGTCATAGCGCGGAAATTAGGTTCCGCACCGGCGCGCCGTTTCATTCATAAATCTTTGACTGCTCTGGGGCGCATGGGTGTGCGCTTAGTCTCGATGATTTCCGGGGACAACACTGCTGACATGATGTCGCCGAGTGTCACAGGCCGAGAGTCAAAGAAGATGTAAATGAAAGGTCAACCTCACAACCACCGTGAACCGACCCCTGCTGCTGAAAAGTCCAAGAAGCTATGAATGAAATTTTCGCGTCATAACAACCATGAACAGATCCAAATCATGTTTACCTGTAATTCTTATTCAGAACTCTGGATCTAGTTTCTGGATCCAGCCCCAGCAAACTCTCACATCTCAGTAAATCGATGCCCTGCCCTCCGCTCGCCACAACTCCCTCAGAATCCTCCACCAGCTCCCGGTTATGTCTCAAAAACCGCACAGTGTCTCTCAGAATTAGGGCATGATCAAAGTAACGGCGAGCCTCTCCCTCAGCATCTGAACCCACCTGTGAAATTTACATTTGATCATTTAACTTGCACAGCTCATTGAAATAATAAATTATATAAAATGTCACTTTTAGGATGACCCCTCTTTCAGTACCAGAAGATGTGGCAGCAAATGGTCAGGAGGAAAAATTATGAGTACATCCCACTAGAAAAAAAAATGCAGACAAGAAAATCTGGCCACTGTGGAGGCAGAAGTGCAAACCTTGATCTTTGAGAATTCTCTAGAGGGGGGATGCTGTCATTTTCACAGATGTGTCTGTGGCTCGACCTGTGAAAAGCTTATGGGTTTCTACAGCTCAGGTTGGAGTTAGAATTGTGAAGCAAGATTCTGTTCCGGTTGCCTTGATCACAAGTAGTATGACTATGGAGGTCATGGCAGAGACCAAGGCAATAATATCGCTGGAGACCCACGCAGAAATGGGCTGGGTTTGAAGACAGTGGCTGAAGTCTCTGAAGGGATTGGGGCTGACAAATATCAGTTTCACATTCATGCTAGGGTATGCAGATGTGTAAGGAAATTAACAAGCTGATAAAGCTTGCAGGTAAAACTACTGTGGAGGGTGGACAAGTTAGGGACGAGGCCGATATTCTGAATGGTTTATGGGAAGTAAGAGGTTTGCGAGAACCAAGTGATGACTGTGAAACTGCAACCATGACCAGACTGCAAGAACCAAGTGATGACTGTGAAACTGCAACCATGACCAGACTGCAAGAACAACATTTTTAAAGAGGAGTGGCCAGAAAAGAGAATTATGCAGGAAGTCAAAGAAGAATAAGAAACCAACACAGAATGCGAGTCCTCAGCCACTACACACTGTGGGATTTGCTGAGGAGGGAGTCGGAACATTAATGGACTGAACGGTTCGATGTGCAGCCAGGACAATCTGTCAACCAACTAACTAACTAACTGGGAATACTAAAAATAAGAGATTTATCACAGTGGATATAATCACTTGAGTTGCCAAATTTCCTGAAAGCTTAGACCAAATTTAAAATGTTAGAGAACACATTATTTTTTTTTTTGGTTGTGATTCACGAAGAGGATTGAAAGAGTTGAAGATTTGGTATATTGTTAAGCTAACAGACAATAACAGAAAAAAATTAGACTGGTAATACTGAGATAGATATGGTATAAATTAGATCTGGCATACTGTTAAGATAACAGACAATAAATAATGAAATAAATAATTCTGATAAGATAAAATGACATGTGATACTCTGGTAAAATGACAGATAGTTATAATAAATAAGGGAAAAAGTCACACTTTTCTTCTTTACATCTTTTTTTTTTACCGCTTCGGGTGTTGAGGGAGATATAAGGTCCTGCTTCATGCTTTTCTGGCTGCTTCAACCGATGGCTGGCTGTTTCTCTGATGTTATCCTTCCATCTTGTTCTTGGTCTACGTCTTGCTTTACATCCCTCTCCTCTTCTGGTTTATGCCTTGAATGATATAGCATCTCTCAAGTGGGCAAACCATTTGTTTTGCTGTCTTTCTATGTAATTTAGAATTGGTTCTGTGCCGACTTTTTCTGGTATGACCTCATTCCTGATTTGATCTCTTCTGGTCACTCCTACAGCCTTTCTCAGACGCTTCATTTCCATTGTTAATGTTTTGTTGTGAGTGATGTCTGGCACTGGTAGCATAGGGTGGGAATGAATATGCTTTGTATGTCTCTTTGTGCTGACTGGGATTGCCTTATGCTGTAAGAGGAGGGCTAGCTGTCTCAATACTTGGCCTGCTTTGCTGTATCGAATGTCATGGGAAAGTCATTCTGATAATATTAAATGACACCTGGTAGTTAAATCATATTTCTTTTACCTGTTAGTAAATATAAAGAAACTTGAACATTCTGACCAACCTTTTCTAGTTCACTAAGAAAGCTGTCCATAGATTCATCACTCAGTTTTCCAACTTCAAACATTGTTACAGCATGACTCTTCAATCCCTGAAAGCACATTAGGAACAATCACTCAGTTTTCCAACTTCAAACATTGTTACAGCATGACTCTTCAATCCCTGAAAGCACATTACGAACAATCACTCAGTTTTCCAACTTCAAACATTGTTACAGCCTGACTCTTCAATCCCTGAAAGCACATGCTGATATTATTAATGCCCTCAGAGAAATGGGAAGGATAGAGGACTTTGGGGGCAGTGAATCCTCATCACTCGCCAGAATGGCAGTCTTGGGAATTAAGATCAGCACAGCAAAAAACGAGACGCCACCAGAAGACTTGTTAATCAACATAGAACTGGTACTATTAGCCATTGGACGTTGGGATTCATACTGAGGGGAGGATCTGGGCACCTATGGACATGTCCGGAGTGCAATGATGATAACCAAACTAACTAACTAAGATTTATATATACACCATTACTAGTTTTCTAGTAAAAGCACACAAAACTAAAGGATTTGGATTCTGCACTTGATACCCTTCGTTAAGTTAGAATTAGAACTACAATGACATGTAAAGAAAGACAATGATGAATTTCAGAAAGACATTCAATAACAGATCAAACAGACTGGAGGGAAAACAAAGTAACAGATCGATTTATGTATTTAGTTAGCGACTGTGATTGCCAAGGCAATACGAGAGAAGAAATAATGATATGCTTACGCAAGGCAACAGCGCTTTCAAATGTCTGAACAAAATATGGAACTCAAAATTGTATCGTTCTAACACCAAGTTATGTATTTTTAATTCTAACATTATTCCAGTTTTAACTCTTTGAGTCCCAAGGAATGCATCATACATTAATAGGTTACTGCCTAGAAGCCCAATGAACGCATGGTGCGCCGATTTTACATCTCTTTTGACTACCCCTTGGGCCTGTGATGCTAAACCCTCTGAGACTCAAAGAGTTAACATATGTCATTGAACACTGGAAAACCACTAAAAACATGTAAAGAAAATTAAATGCATCTGAAACAAATGCTCAAGGAAACTGACAAATATTAAACTGATGAATTCAAGAAAGGTGAAGGAATAAAAGAAATGGCTGGATACGCAGTTTGTATCACCAGTTTTCAGACAAAGAAGATGGCACTACATCGGGCACACCATGAGGAGAAATGACAAGGGAATCACTAAGCAGACACTGAAATGGGAAAACAAATGGAATAAGGAAACAAGTACATCCAAGAGAAAACTTCGGATAAATGTTGAACAGAGAGGTTGAAGGTGCTGGACTGGATCCCATCCTTGACATCGAAAGGACTGTAAGGGATAGAATGGAAATGGGGACTAGACTTGGAAACCAATGTGCATGACGATGATGAGGTAACAGCACATTAAATTTACTGACAAATGTGTTGGCTGCCCCATGACAAAATTACTAATTTATTGCTATCATCATCATCATCATGGAGTAGAAGTCCTTGCAGATTGATGCTCTTGTCATGGTCTCATGGAAATTCTCATATTTCATAAGCCAATTTCTCTACCTCAGTTTTCAGATTATCATTTTAGTAGTAAAGACACTTCTCTAAGCTTTTTTCTTTCTTTCAGGAACAATCACCATCATCATGTAGCAGGTCCTTTGCAGAACATCGCTCTCATCACGGTCTTCCTGAAAGAAACTCGGTCTTTCGCCAGCTCTCCCACCTCATGTTCTTTTATAATCAAGGAGTCACTTACATTCTGTGCCCATCTTCGTGTTGGTCGGCCCCTGCCCCCTATTTCCTGGTATGATGCCTTTTGACCATACCATTCTATTATGTACTTTCTAAGCCACTGCCATGTCAAATATGGCGACAGTATTTCAGTTGCTAGCACATGATTATTAAGCCAGTTTCAGTTGCTGTTTAGGTCTTGTAAAATGTCAGTTTTCTTCAACTTGATCCACAGTATTCTAAGAATTCAATGCATGATTTTAAGGACGTACATCTGTGACACTTACAGGAGAAAGATTCCCCATCATCAGAAATGCTGTCAAGGTTGAGTCAAACAGAAATGCTATTCTCTTGATTTGACCGGAAGTTTGTGACCCTAAATCTTGAACAAATGATACAAATAAAGAATGATCATTGCATGCCATGCCAGTGTCTCTCTCTCTCTCTCTCTCTCTCTCTCTCTCTCACACACACACACACCTAAACTCCCTCCCCCCCAATTTTTCACCCACTTCTGGCCTTTCGTCTTTTACAGACACTGCTTAAATGTGTGCAGACTGTTGGTTCCTCAGTTCTCAGGCAAATGCACTCCAACTTTGTGAGAAATGCACACAAAAAGTTACCCTTTATATAAGCTTGTTTTAGGGGGTAGTGTGTCTCATTTTTTCCCCATCCAAAATTGAGCCCAGAACCCACACACAGATCCATGCCAATAAAATGTATATAATCATGGCTCAGACATAAAAATTTTAAACAATAAATTTACAAAAATAGTGCAATATAGAGTCATTTGAGGAAAATCAGTGTGGTGTTGTTATGAAGAGTTGGCTGCAATGAATCTCTACCTTTCTATTTTTCTTGCCTTGGCTGCACCCTCTTACATTGCTATTTGTCAATCTCCCAACATTAATCTACCGCTTGAATCATTGTCTACCTACTGCTCACCTACTGTCGACTTTACATAATGTTTTTATAAGAGTCTTTGGCGCTCCTTTGAATCATTCCCCAAAATGGCGGCATGCCACATTCTGGCCATAAAATATCCAAAAATATCCGAACGACGGTGTTTGCGTATATTTAAAATACGGACTTTCTGCCAAGGAACAAATCGCGGCAAAACTAGGATTACTTGACAATCAATATCAACATTTGCACAGGGTACTAGTAGCAGACGATAAATACCGACCGTTGACAACAATTTCGAGCGTTTCTGCAGACGATACTAGCAGACGATATTAGCGACCGTTGACCAATTTCGAGACATAACAGACGATGAAAGCCGATTAGCAATACTGTGTTCTTCCGATTGGAGGATTTAGCAGCGGTAGATGTCAGACTTGTTGGCATGCGCCAAACGCGATTAAACTCATCGCCGAGTGTATCCCCCGCGCCGCTACGCACGGCGCGGATGGGGGCTAAACTAGGTGCCTGGGACTCACGAGTACAGTAATTGGAGGAAGTTGCAGGAGATGCGGTAGCTGCCGCTCGTGAGTCCCAGCGGCTTCCGGTTTAGAAATGGCAGCGTGAGGACGTGTTTGCGGCGACACACGATTTTATTCTAAAATTTTCACTTAATCGGTGTTTTTCTCTTGATAACAGAGTGCGATTATTACTAATTCATTGACGATGGATATTTTCTTGTTCGTGGATACAAGCATTATGTGGTTTAGGGGTAATTCCGATAATGTAACCGCGTAGGAGCCACGCTCCCATTATAAACATGGGAGTCCACGGGTAAGACCCCAGTCTACTCTAGCATATCAAGGTGCTGAAGTCGGAGGCAACCAGCCAGGAGGCGCACCACAGCAATCAGGATGCCACGCACAAATCAACAGGGAATATTTCTATATCTGCTAATAAGTTTGATTTCCACCATGAGACCCACTCACGTACACGTGGTTCGATTTACCGGCCTATGACAAGAAGAAAGAGTCCAGCTTCAAATACTCGAAGCCTCCCCCTCATGCCCCGTAGAACCAGAAAAGCAGAAAATACAGCTAGCTTTAAAATAATGCACTGGAACGCGGAGGAAGTACATACCAAGAAATTAGAATTAGAAAACGTCTTGAACGAAGAGAAGATACATGTATGCTGCCTACAAGAGACGTATCTCAAACAAGATATGGCCTTTAAGATCAGAGGCTACCAGTGTTTCCGATCTGACCGCACAGACAGGAGAAAAGGTGGAATTCTTACCCTGGTCAAAAATAACATCCTTGCGGGCCGGATTGAAACATACATGGAAGGTGCTGAGTATCAAACTCTTGAGCTCAAGTTAGAAAATACAGATTTACATCTGACCAACTATTACTGTCCGAGCGACCGCCCTCAGGCACTGGATACTGTACTAATAAATGAAAAAATGATCATTTGTGGGGATTTTAATAGCCATTCCCAAAGTTGGGGCTACGATCATATGGACCAGAGAGGAGAGAAACTAGAGGACTGGCAGGATGAGAATAGGTTCATCCTCGTAAATAAGCCAACCGACCCACCAACCTTCTACTCTAGAACATGGCATACCACCTCGACACCAGACCTAGCCTTTCACTCAGCAGACATGGAACTGAATATTACCAGAACTGTCGGGAAGCAACTAGGAGGCAGTGACCACCTGCCAGTCTTTCTAACTATCGAAAGCCAGTATGTAAGAGAGAGCAGCACACTGCCAAGGTGGAATTTTAAGAAGGCAGACTGGAAGTTATATCAGCTTCGCACAAATGTTCTGCTGGAAAATCTTAACACAGATAATGACGTAGAAAAAGTAGTCCAAGAGTTGAGCAAACACATACTGCAGGCAGCCCTAGAAGCAGTTCCAAGAGGTGCGCGTAAACAATACAAACCGTACTGGAATTGCGATCTGGAGCAACTGCACAACAATATGGAAAACAGAAAGAAAACAGGCTGAGACCAGACCTTGTCAAGAGCAGTTTAACAACTACCAACATTCAAAGGCCAAATTTCAAAGAGCCAAACTGCAGGCTAGACGGAGAAGCTGGCAGGAAAAGACAAAGTCCCTAAACTTTGAAAGAGACACAAGGAAGTTGTGGAGGTTAATTAAGCAAATTAATGATGAGAATACAGGGAGAAATGGTTATATTGCACTGTGCAAAGAGGGAGCTATCCTAACAAGAAAACAGGCAGCTGACCACTTTGCAGATTCCTTTGCAGAAGACAGCAACATTAATGTCAGCCCAGAGAAACAGCGAGAGGTTCAAGAAAACAAACAACATACAAGACAAAAAGATATAATTCCTGAGGCACTGGTGGCAGCATTTACATCCAGCGAGTTAGAATTAGCAATATCAAAGCTGAGAATGGGAAAATCACCTGGAACTGATGGAATCACCAACGAAATGATCAAGAACCTTGGAACAACTGCCAAAATAAAGCTGCTACAGATCTTTAATCATTGTTGGACCAGTGGCAAAGTTCCTCAAATATGGAGAGAAGCAATCACAATACCTTTGCTTAAACCAGGAAAGGACAGTTCTGATGCCTCCAGCTATAGACCGATCAGTCTTACCAGCTGCCTCTGTAAAACAATGGAACGTATTGTCAACCTTAGACTCCAATGGTACTTGGAAAGTGAAAACATTTTCACGCCGCAGCAGGCAGGATTTAGACAGTGCTACTCCACAGAAGACCAGACAACTTACCTTTCACAAGAAATTGAGGATGCCTTCCAGGAAAAGAAGCTAGTGCTAACGGCATGGATAGATCTGAAGAAAGCCTTTGACAAGGTCTGGAAAGAAGGTCTACTGAAGAAACTGAGAGACTGCAGGGTGAATGGGAGTATGTACAAATGGGTCAAAGCATACTTGTATAACAGAAGATCCCGAGTACAGATAGATGGACTTAAGAGCAAGAAAGTTTTGCTGCGCCATGGCGTCCCACAAGGAGGTGTCCTGTCCCCCACACTCTTCCTAGTCTATATCAACGACCTGCTTTCTGAACTACCCCATGGAATTAAAGCTGCAATGTATGCTGATGACTTGGTACTCTGGTGTACAAATGAAAATGCGACAGTGGCCACCAGACTGCTACAAAGAGCCATAGATGCAATGGCTAAATGGGCCGACAAATGGTGTGTCAGCATCAACATAGGCAAATGCAGCACCACTCTCTTTACCCTTTCTCCTAAACAAAAATCAGGCGCCATGCACATAAATGGAGTACCCCTGAGAGAGGATAAGGAGCCCACATACCTCGGCGTAACGTTTGATGATAGATTAACATGGAGAAAACACATCAACAAGGCAGCAACCAAAGCCAGAAGGAGGGTAGCCATTCTGAGAAAACTAAGTGGAACCACATGGGGTGCTAGCGAGAAAATACTTAGAAAAGTTTACCAACAAAGTGTTCGACCACATCTTAAATACGGATCAACAGCATGGAGTTCGGCATCAAAAACCACATTGCAAGAATTAGACAAAGTGCAAAATCAAGCACTCAGAGTTACCACAGGCAGTATGAAATCAACACCTATAGCTGTGATGGAGAAAATGGGGATGACCCAAGCACTAAGTGAACGCAGAGACACCAAGATGTTTTTACAAGCAGAAAAGTTTCTTAGTATGCCCAGTCACCCTATGAATGAAAGATTCAAAAATTTAGCTTTGGGACGACTAAAGAGAAGTAGTTTTATCCACCAGGCCAAACGGCTCGGCAGACAAACCACTGATTTACCTGCAACTGATAGATCCTTAAATGCTGTCCCAGAACGGACCCCCTGGAGAGAGGAGTATAAGTTTCCAATACACATCAAGACTGAAGTGAAAGGGATATTTGACAAGGAAGAACAAAACAGTGTGCAGCGCAAAACAGCCACCCTCAGTTTACTTGATGATGAATACCCGCAGAACCTTTGGGTCCGTGTTTACACAGATGGGTCAGCAGAAAGCGCAGTCAGAAACGGAGGTGCGGGAGTGTACATTGAGTATCCTAATAATACCAGGGATACAGCCAAATTACCAACGGGAAAGCACTGTCACAACTATGATGCAGAAGTTCAAGCCATCAAGATAGAGGTAGAGAAACTACTAAACACAGGGTATTTTTCACAACCAGTGGTATTCCTGACAGATGCAAAAGCAGTACTTCAGTCACTCCAGTCTGGAAAATTACCAAGCATACGGACACTATTATCCGAACTAGGCAACCGCTGTAAATTAGTAATGCAGTGGATACCTTCCCACTGTGGAGTTCCCGGAAACGAAAAAGCTGATAAACTAGCTAAGGAAGGTGCAACTGAAGAACAACCTGACATACCAGTCTCTTATCAACAGAAGAAGAGAATGATCAAATCAATCAGAATGCCACCGAAACTGGCACAAGATGATTACCATATTATGGACAGACCAGAGCAAGTTATTATCCTTCGCCTTAGAACAGGGCACAATAGACTTCGCTCCCACATGTACAACAAATTTAAGATTGGCCAATCGGCCATGTGTACTTGTGGACTGGCACCTGAAATAACAGATCACATCCTTCAAGACTGTCCCATATTCAACGCTTTCAGGCAAAACATTTGGCCAAAAGAGACACTTGTGGAAGTCAAACTTTACGGGCCGCTTAGTGAATTACAAAAGACAGTGAAATTCATACAAGAGACGGCTTTGCAGATATAGACAATTTATTTCATGCGAACGAAAGAAGAAGAAGTGAGTCCCAGCCATCTAGTTTAGCTCCCATCCGTGCAGCGCGTAGCAGCAAGGGGGATACGATTGGCGGTGAGGCACACTCGCAGAAGCAGGTCGACAAGCAACGTATCGCCGAGACCCTGTCAGAGCATTTGTTTCGTTATCCGGAGCCTGCACATATATTTTTAATAGAACTGACCCGCATTTGGATATTTTTGGATATTTTATGGCCAGAAATTGGCCAATTTAGCTTTCTTTCGAACGCCATCATATTAAAGCTGCCATTTTGGGGAACGATTCAAAGGAGAGCAGAGTCTTTTAATGTGGTTGAAAGATTTTTCATGGTATGATAGAATAACTAATGTAGAACTTTGGGAGAGAACTAAACAGGCTCCGGTGGATCAGGAAGTGAGGAAAAGACGCTGGCATTGGATAGGGCACACACTGAGAAAACAGGAGAACAGCATTACTAGAATGTCTTTGCATTGGAACCCACAGGGGCATAGGAATAAAGGAAGGCCAAAAAACACATGGAGAAGAGAGCTGGAGAACGAGGTTAGAAAGACTGGGAGGACATGGGGAGAGCTCCATGCAATGGCGAAGGATAGAATGACTTGGCGTGAGTTGGTTGAGGGCCTATGCTCCATTGGGGGATAGAAAGGCAGAAGAGAGAAAGATTTTTCTTGTCACTGGGTTTTTTCAACAACCCCCACCCCCTTTTTTCACTTCCAGTCTTTTTATAAACTATTTTTTGGTTTTGTTTTTGTTTCCAAGAAAGATAATCTATTCTGCTGTACATCAAAATCTCCTAGGCCACAGTTTTACTTTCTTTTTAATTGCTTCTCGCCATTAGTAAGTCTGATCATGTATATAGTCTTTACTGTTTACCACCTTTCAGGGCAGTGCAGGAAGAGGTGGCCAGAGAAAAATGTCATGAACTGTGCAGGTTCAAGTGTTTTTTGAAAGAAAAAAAAATTACATCTCAAAAACTCCATCCCCTTACTGAGGATTCAGAGCTAGGTTTTGTCAATCAGAACACAGGTTCTAACTATTTGGGTCACCATTCCTCTTGGCATAACTTCTTATAACACACTTAGCAGGAAACAAGTCATCTACAACTTACGTTCTTTGGTCATGCCATAAGGAGAAGAAAAATGGCATTTATCATGACGGTGAGAAAGTTGGGAGAAAAACAAAGAAAGAATGTTGTATGTTGAATTAAGAATCAACATTGCAGCACTCAGGACACTCCCATAAGTGCTTAGTCCCCATCTTCAGCAGCAAGCGAAGAGTTCCAATTCCGATAGTACTAGTAACCGTCTGATTGTATATCTGTCCCATCCTTCCCCTGAGTGCTGAGCATCGACCAGATCTCCTGGTAACTCCTCGCAGCGCCATTCTCCTTAGACCGTAATGATCTATCTGTGCCTCCGAACTGTTCACTCGCTCCCAAAGGGTTCTCACAAAATCTAACTTGTCATACATCAATTCACCACCAAGTGGTGCAAAGCCAGCCAGTCCATCTGCCTGCTCATTTCCTAACCCATCAGCATGACCTGGAGAAGATATCTAAAGGATATTAACCTTCAAACCTTTCTCAACATGCTCTGTGAGTCAGTTACAATCATGGCATGTGTGTAAAAAAAAAAAAAAAGAAAGAAAGGACACAAAGCGAGAGGTTGCTGGACAGTCTGACATCACAGCTTGGAAGATCATCTGAATTGATTGAAAGTACATGCTACAGAAGGTTGTGGATAGACATGACTGCTAAAGCTACACAGCATGGACTATGGAAGATCATCTGAACTGACTGAAAGTACACAAGACAGAAGGTTGTGGATAGACATGACTGTCAAGGCTACACAGCATAGACTATGGAAGATCATCTGAGTTGATTGAAAGTACACAAGACAGAAGGTTGTGGATAGACATGACTGTCAAGGCTACACAGCATAGACTATGGAAGATCATCTGAACTGACTGAAAGTACACAAGACAGAAGGTTGTGGATAGACATGACTGCTAAAGCTACACAGCATGGACTATGGAAGATCATCTGAACTGACTGAAAGTACACAAGACAGAAGGTTGTGGATAGACATGACTGTCAAGGCTACACAGCATAGACTATGGAAGATCATCTGAGTTGATTGAAAGTACACAAGACAGAAGGTTGTGGATAGACATGACTGTCAAGGCTACACAGCATAGACTATGGAAGATCATCTGAACTGACTGAAAGTACACAAGACAGAAGGTTGTGGATAGACATGACTGCTAAAGCTACACAGCATGGACTATGGAAGATCATCTGAACTGACTGAAAGTACACAAGACAGAAGGTTGTAGACAGACATGACTGTCGAGGCTACACAGCATGGACTATGGAAGATCATCTGAGTTGATTGAAAGTACACAAGACAGAAGGTTGTGGATAGACATGACTGCCAGAGCTACACAGCATGGACTATGGAAGATCATCTGAGTTGATTGAAAGTACACAAGACAGAAGGTTATGGATAGACATGACTGCCAGAGCTACACGACATGGACTATAAGAAGAGTTAGTCTACAACAGCTTATTTTAACTGCCGCTACTAATACACTCATAATATTTAACATAATATAACATAACCCTTGACCCATTAGAGTCGTGGAGGTGTATTGACGGAAGCACTGGCAAATAAAACCCGCCATCTTTCTCTGTCTTCTGCTTGATGAATAAGTGTGTGATAACTTAGTTCTGTCCATTTCTTGATGTTGTCATTCCAGGTTCTTCTTTGCCCTCCTCTTCTTCGACTACACCAACAATGTTCCGTGAAGTAGTCTTTGCAATCAAATCATGTATCACCACGGGCCCAAACCAAGTTAACTTGCGATGTTTCAACACTGCCAAGAGAGGCTCCTGATGTCCCGCAAAATTGTATATTTTGTCTCTGACATATTTATTAGTTTTGTGTTCTAAATAACTAATTCGTAAAATGCTTCTGTTGGATTTACATTCGAAAGCCTGAATCCTCTTTTTTATTTATACATTTAGCCACTTTCAAAACCAGGTATGTCATTATGCACAAATATGGATTTGAACAGAACTCACATTCACCTAAAGTGGAGTCCAGTCCAACAACGCCACCTGTGTTGCCATCATCGTTGACCGATGTAGACTTGCTCATCTCCCCTGCTGCGTCCAAGTGCACTGAGCTACTCAAGTCAATCAGCAGTGTCCTCTCTTCATTTACACTGAAAGTAGGAGAAGTGAATAAAAACACTTAACCCTTTCTACAATGTGACAAACGAAGGAAACATGTGTTAGCAGTCCATAACTTCCTCCTCTTTTTTGTGTTCACCCTTAAAAGCGTGCCTGGCGTGTTGTGCTGTGGTTTACAGCTAGGCTGTGATATCTGTGCCTTAAGGCCCAACACATCCGTTTTTAGTCAACCATTAATACTTCACCTTTTATGACATGCTTATTAAGGGTCAGTAAATCTATTCTTTTGTCTCCAAAAATGGGGTCTTAGCACCTACACAGAGGGGAGACTAAGACAATCAGCACTAGCAAATCAACAAGTTTCTTCTTCTTCTCAAAGTCCATACCGTGTGGCATTGGTTGTCATGTCTTTCCACAATCCTCTGTCTCATGTACTTTCAATCATCTCTGACAAAGATGATCCTCCATGCCATGATGTCAAACTGTCCAGCATCTGTTCTCTCGGTCTCCCTCTGCCTCTCCTCCCCTCCAACTTTACTAGTGATGTACTCCAGTTTCCTTCTCCTCTTCACATACCCAAAGAATGTAGATTGTCTCTTTCTGATGTGGGCAATCAGTTCTCTTCATGAGTCAGTTTCTTTCAAGATGTCTTCATTTCTCTTTTTATCTGTCTAGGGTATTCTTATCATTCGTCTATAAAACCACATCTCCGCAGCTTCAAAACAAGTTGTAACAGGAAGACGTCATCACTTGTTTGTTAGGAGGTAGGATATTGTGCAAAGCTAAGATGTACCGGAATCAACAAGTTTTGGTAACCTTGACATTCCCCCTTTCTAGAACCTTCGTTTGTTATTAACAGGGAAATACTTTACAAAAGTAAAATCTATAAATAGTATATGATGTCATTGTTGATGTGCCCTATCAAAGAGAACGTAGTCGGACTGGTTTTCTAGAAGACTCTAAGAGGTCAGCTGTCAATTTAATTACTATATTTAGGTGCAAAATAAGATGATGAAATCTGATGCAACTGAGATGAAATTAGAAAATCCCACTTAAAAACACACATAGTAAACATGTTGAAAGGTACTAGAAATTTCTAGAAGAGCTGAAAACACATTCCTTGCATTTCAGCACCTCAGTATAGATAATGGAAATAAACCATTTGGGTAAGCCTTCAGTGATCCAGTCTTGGAAGAGGAGGGACTAGTAACATGGACCCTCAAAGAAATCCTTCAGTATGCCAGACTTGGAAGAGGAGGGACTAGTAACATGGACTCTCAAAGAGAACTTTTAGTTGTAGAGATGTCAGCTCAACATTAGAAGCAGAGGAACCAGTCACATGGAGCCTCGAAGACAGACACTAGAGAAGAGACATGAAACGTGATAAGGCAGGTGTTTTTAGGGTCTTGTGGGAGAACATGTACAATTTGGAGGAGCAAATTGATCACCAGTCTGGTGAGAGTAATGCAGTGGGAGTGACGAGGGGATCTGGCCGATACTCAACACTCAGAGGAAAGGCAAGACGGACGTATAATCAGAATGCTACTGGCACCATTGGTATTGGAACTCTGAGCAGGCTGCTGAAGATGGGAACGGAGCACTTATGAGAATGCTCCAAGTGCTGTGATGAATCAACAACTCAACTCAACTCTGGTGTCTAATTGAAAGGGGGGGGGGGATCGACCCATTGGCTTAAACAAGTCATAAAAATCAACTAATTGGGCTGCCTTTCCCTAGATTTTGGACTGCATCTGCGTGACAGGCAAGAAACCAACAGTCTGCATACAAATAAGCCAGATCTGTAAAACAGATATGAATGCAAAACTAAAATCCTGGGTGGATGAACAAACAGAACTTTCCTTTATAGTTTAAAGCCGGTGAACACCAAGAAGAAGAAGAAAAATGTTAAGGCATTCACATTTTCTTGGCCATGATCTATGAGGTGGGATAACCAGTTTTCTTTCCACACTACCTTCCATTCCAAAACATTCGGGAAATTATCCAGTAACCATTTTTTAAGAGGTTGGGTTGACTCCAAAGCCGTACGGGTTAGAAACATTCCTGTCACGTCTAGGGACTGAGCCCAAACAGCTGCCTCAGGAAAATATAAACAGTACATAGCACAGATATTTGTAACACAAAAGTAATGGTTACTTTTTACAACAAACTTGTACTGTTGTTTGTAAATGGAAAATCATGTAAATGGATGTGCTTACTCTTGGTTTGTTTTAGTGACTCCTGCTACTGGAGATTCTTGGTTGACACTCCATGAGGGGTGAAGATCAGCCATGTCAAAGTCTGTGGATTTTTTCTTGGCAAAGCCCAGCCGGCAGTACATGGACACTGCCATCTTTGTAGAGAAGATATGTGGGAATATCTCATTAATTTTAATCTTCTGTGGTAATTGTGAGGGCAGATGAATAATGACATTGAAGTTACTGAGCCGGGGTTTGCTGATGATAAAATACCTAAAACACCTGTTACATTAACATTTGAGTTGAGTCGAGAACTGACACCACAGCACTCAGGGCATTCCCATGCATGCTCCGTCCTCATCTTCAGCAGCCAGCGCAGAGTTCCAATACTGATGGTACTGGTCAATATCTGGTTATATGTCCGTCTTGCCTTTCCTCTGAGTGTAGTGAGCCGGCCAGACCCTCTGGTTACACCCAGGTGCCTCATTCTCTCCAGCCCATAATAATTTATCTCTACTGATTCTGTTGCTTGTTCCCAAAGGGCCTTGACCACATCTGCCTTGTCATGTATCAATTCACCACCCAGGGGTGCAGATCCAGCCAATCTGTCTGTCTGTTCATTACTCACCAGGCCAGCATAGCCTGGAGAAAAGATCCAAAGTATGCTCACTACCAGTGACCTTTCCAGTCAAGCTTGGCACTCTGCTCGAAGTATCCTTGTCTTCCTCTTTGTCAGCATGCTTTCAGAGTCTGTTACAATTATGACATGTGTATGCATCTTGTTCTCTAGCAACCAGAGAGCTGCAGTTAACCCCCTCAACCTCCATTCTCATGCTAGATTACACAATCATTATCAACCTAGGCCTTGTGCAGTATCATGACCAAGTGTAATTTCTTCCTACACCTTCTTCTTTTTTCACCTGAGGACATAAGTGCTCGGTGACTGTTTACAGCAGGGCTATTGAACTGGTGGCCCACAGGCCCAATGCTGTCTACAAAAGCCTTGCAAGCGGCCTGTGGATCACTGCCAGTTGCAATGTATCAGTAAATCTTTCTATTTAAATAATGCATGCAGACACAAACAATACATTGCACAATTTATTATAAGGCATATTTTGATGTATCTCGTCAGGTGTGTTACTACAGAGTTACTTTAGAGCTACCCTGGTAAGTCATGTGACTGCAGTGAACTTTTGGCACGATGCATCAAAAGAGACTATATGCATTTCAGTTGGATTTATTCATGTTTTTGTTGCTATTTTATGTTGATGTAACTCTGTAGTGACGCACCTGATGAGATAAGTGAAATATTCTTCTTTCTCAGCATTCTTAGCCCTTGAGGTTCATTGCTGCAGATATCACCCGCCTCCATTCATCTCTATGGTTGACCTTCTCTTTCCAGTTGGTGACACCAAGTGTTTGCAGGTCTGTCTGGATATTATCTCTCCATCGTCTTCTTGGTCTGCCTTGTGGTCTACAACCATTCATCTCCCTGGTGTATACAGTTTTTACTTCTCTGTCATCTGTCATTCTTTCAATATGCCCCTACCATTTCAATCTATCAGCTCTCATGATGCCAATGATCAGTGGAGATTTAAACAGATTATGAATTTCGTTGTTGCTTCTCACTCTCCATTCCCCGCTGTTTGGAAAGACTGGGAATGTGTTATTTTCTAATATAACTCTCTGTATGTGCTACAGAGTCTTGCTACACAGTCTTGTCTTATCAATTGTGTCTAAGCGTGGTGAAGTGATAGAAAGCCTTGCAATATATCCATAATAAATATTGTAATCTTATAATGGGAAGGAAGAATAGTCTCCACACCAACCTTACCTCAACAGATTTAAATCCATTTTCTCCCTGTGTGTGTGTGTTTAGAGACCCCATTTGTCACTTAAAAAAGCATGTGGCCAGAGGCAAATTATTACAGATTTTGCAGAAATCAGATGTGTTACAAAAGACACAGACTCTGCAGCCTAACTGAAAACTATAGTACAGAATCCCAAATGTCTTTTCAGAGGTGAGCCCAGAAGAAAAACTCTTTTCAAGGCCAAAAAATGTGAACAAATTTAGAATTCTAGAAGTGTCATCAATTAACCAACTAAAGATCTTACTGACAAAACAACAGTGACAACAGTGCCCCCTGAAATTGCACATAAAAGTGTACCTGTGCATAAAATAGTAACTGACAGCCCAAATAGGGTTATGACTCCACATCTTGGAGTAGAATGTGTCGCCCATCTTTATCTACATTATTGCCCAAATAGGTGTAAGACTCCACACAAAAGTCAGAGCATATTAGCAAGAAATAATCTTGTCTCTTTGAGGGACAACCCAGATCACTAGCGTGGCAGACAAGCCCACCATGACATGAGCTAAGGTAACCAGTTACCACTCTTACAGCCTTTGAAGCAGCAACATTTTTATCACATGATGAACAAATGTGCACATATTTATACCCACCTTCACCAGAGATAAGTCTATCTGCAGAACACTGGCAAGCTAAAGGACAGAAGAGCAAATATTATAAAGAAGCAGTGAATTTTGCTATATACATAAATATAAAATGAATGCAATAAACATTTCTTATAACCGATGCTGTTCACAGTAGGTTGAATGTGGCTTTTTTGTTTTGTTTTTTATAAATGGATGGATGGATGGAATATACAATTTTAAGAGTGGACCTTCCATGCATGTATTACAGGGCTCTACTTGTGTTCACAAGTTTGCCGGTGTGTTGGGAAATGAACAGGCTTAGAGACTTGCTGGTTCTGCACTACCTGGTAGTGAATTAATGCATGACAAGCTAGATGTTGTAAGGGTCCTTTGGAAGCAAGTGAACAGTGCAGAGGAACAAACAGATCATCACTGTCTAATTTCCATTTGGGTATCGAGACCCCATTGTGGAGAAAACAAGAACAGTCCCACTCCCTCCCCAACAAGCATGTTAGTTGTCTAACTGGGGGCTTCCTTCGAAGTCAAAGTCCATCTGCCTGAGAGGCAAGACAAAAAAAAACAATCCGCATTCAAATAAGTGAGGGGCTTCCTTCGAAGTCAGAGTACATCTGCCTGAGAGGCAGGGAACCAACAATATGCATACAAATAAGTCAGATTTGTAAAATGGTTGTGCATGCAACACTCAGGTTCAGGAATAAGAGTTAAGTACAGAGGTGAACAAACAACCAGAACTTTCAGACAACCGGTTTACAGCCTGTGAATGCAAAGAAGAAGAGATCTCTACTTCAGTAGAAAGAAGTTGCAAGGAGTGACCAGGGTCAGGATGTTGTTTTTGCCTCTGACAGAAACAACATTCATCACCTTACTGACGAATCAAACCTGGGTCACCTGAATGTGCCCAGCGCTCGTAACGGCTTGGCCAGCTGCTAATGAGCCCTGGGACCACAATTATCTTACTTTAATATAAGCATGTAGCATTTTGTTCTGCTGGCACCTTTTCGTCTTTCCAGATGATAGTGTCACACTGTGCCATAGGAAGGCATGGGACTTACAATAAGACCTGATGACATTTTATAAAGCTCTCTACAATTTGCAGGACCATTGTTGCCATCAGATGTATTTAAGTTACTTCTCAGATGTTTAGCTCTAAACCTTTCTGCAATCCTTTTCTCTTTTGTCCCTATTCCCTTCCTCATTCCAAACCAGAACAATGAGGTCAATTCTCTTGACTTTAACTTCATCAAGGCTATTGGATAATCACAGTTCCCACATCACAGTAAACGAGTCACCGCATAGTTGCTCCATTCCTGTGCCAACAAAGACCACACAAAATGTCCATCTCTGTTCCTTGTGAAAAAGTTGATACAGATCTGCAGTCTCAACAAAGTTATTAGCATACATATGCAGTAAATGCATAAGGCAGGCATCAGAAGTGCCAACACAAACAGACTGACACTAGAAATGCAGTCCATTGTCATTGGAAGCAGAAGCATGTATGAATAAAAAATGTAATTAAAATGTGGCAATTCCCAAGCACTTTATGAACTAAGAATATTCACCATCACCATCATCAGGTGCCTTGTCGACTGATGTAGGCGATCATGACTTCCACAATCCACGATCTCCTGCAGCATGTATCAGTTCGTGTGCTGATACACATCCATGACAAGACTGTCAAGAATCTTCTCTTGTTGTCTTCCTCTATCCCTCTTTCTAAAGATATTTCCAGTTGCTACAACATGTTCCATTTTCCCTCTTCTCATAACATGGCCGAAAAATGATGACTGTCTCATTCTGATGTCTGTGATAAGTTGTCTTCAGGCTTCCACCTCTTTCAAAACCTCTTGGTTGCTCTTTTTGGCTGTCCAAGGTATTTTAAGCATTCTTCTGTAAAACCAAATCTCTGAGGCCTCAAGAAATTGTTTGGCCTGCCTACCGATTGTCCAGGACTAATAGCCATACGTCAAAATTGGATGTATGTAGCAAGCTTTTTATAACCTTCAATGACAGAGATATATTGCATAAGTTGTTTTTCATTTTATAAAATGCAGTTTTTGCCTGTCCTATTCTGTTTCTTATCTCAGTAATGTATCTTCCATCTGATGTTTTCAATGTGCCCTGATACTTAAAATTCTATACTTGTCCCAAAATAACACCATTGACTTTTATTACAAATTTAGGGATAATTCTTTTCTTTGATACCACCATTACTTCTGTCTTTCCATTATTCAAACTGAGGCCCATTCTTCCACTTTTAACCCCACAATGTCTATCATTTCCTGTAGTTCTTTCTCACTTGTTGCTATAAAGACTGTGTCATCAGCATAACATAAAATGTTTATATTATGCCCATCAACCACAATTCCGGGCACATCAATTAAAGATCTCATCATATATTCACTGTATAGGAAAAGCAAATCAGGTGACAGTACACATCCTTGTCATATGCCCCTCTTTATGCACTGAAATGTACCTCAACAGCTGTTAATTCTTATAGCTGCTGTTTGCTGCCAATACATATTCTTTATTATTCATAGATAATATTCCTATTTCTAATAAATTTATTTCCAATAAATTCAATTTGCTTACCTCAGCAACAGGTGTGTGCTCATCTATAGAAACAAATATTTTGTACAACAAAGTTTCAAAGTAATCGCCAAGAACTCTGTTCATAACAAATCCTTCCAAAGGTGGCACTGAAATATACAATTCAGTACAATTAATAAACAATAAACAAGCAATTCTTCTTTCCATTCACAGGTGTAAACTCCAGTGAAAATGTTCTGGTTGTTCATCCACTTCTGGACTCTGATCTTTTTGCATTAATTGAGTTTTATTATACATCCATTTTACAGATCTGACATATTTGTATGCAGACTGATGGTTAATCACCTCTCAGGCAGATGCACCCTGACTTTGAAGGAGATACGCCTAGTTGACTTTCACAACATGCTTCTTGGGGGAGAGGGGGGGGGGAGGTTTTTAACATTGCTTTTGCATGGAAACACAGCTTTATCAGCAGTCACTGCTGCCTTCCACTGGCTTGAGAATCAGCAGTACATACATGCCGTGATTGTAACTGACTCACAGAGCACGTTGAGAAAGGTGGAGAGGCATGCTCCGTGCAGAGTAGCAAGCATCACTTCAGAAGTCTCGGGTAGTTAGTATCCTTTGGATATTTTCTCCAGGTTATGCCGGTGTTTTGAGAAATGAACAGGCAGATAGACTGGCTGGTTCTGCACCACTTGGTGGTGAACTGATGTGTGACAAGCTAGATGCTGTGAGGGCCCTTTAGGAGCAAGTGAACAGTGTAGAGGCACAGATATATTGTTACTACAGTTTGAGCATAATGATGCTGCGAGGAGTTAGCAGGGGATCTGGCCCAAGCTCAATACGCAAGGGAAAGGCGTGACGGTAAAACAATTTGACAGTTACTGGTGCCATTGGAACTGGAACTCTTTGCTTGCTGTTGAAGATGGGGATGGAGTGCTTATGGGAGTGTCCCGAGTGCTATGATGTTGATTTTTAATTCAACATTTAACTTCGTCAGCTACACACATTTCTTTCCCTGATCTATTACTTGTTTTGCTTTCCAGCATCACGTTATGAAGAGTCTTCAGAGGCAAATGGTGTTGTATGCTTCCTTTATGGTAGCGTTCAGAGTGTCATATATGTCCTTAACCCTACCAGGCCGCTGTCCCGATTTTTTAGGAATTTCTTAAACTGACGCTAAACCGCTGTCTCTAATTTTCAGCAATTTGCGTAGTACGTGAAAAAGATGCGTCTCAGACTAAAAATAACCACCCAATCGTCATCAATCCTCCATGTTAGACATTGCAAATGTCTTCCCCATGTGTGTAAATCAACTTTTTTGTTATTTAACGTGAAAAAATTATGAAAATTCACAATGAAGCAAGTGGCTAATAAACCAAGCAATTCAACAGGAAAGCGAAGTAAGTCTAGGATTTTCACAGTCCAAAAGGTGATCGATAATTTAGTTGATTCAGACTTTGAGTCCGAATTTTATCAAGAATACATTTCTAGCTCTAGTGACACAGACATCGACAGCTCAAGTGAAGAGGAGAATGGTGAACATTATAAATCTAGAGCTAGATCGATAATCAAAGAAGAGGGGTTTGTCCCTCAATTAGCTGATGGGGGAGATCTAGATGATGATGAAGGTTGAACAAGGAATTTTGTATCACCAAAATCAGATCTGAATTTTAATGAAGATGGAAAAGGCCTAGTGAACATTCCTGAATCTATCACAAAGGAGAGTGAACTATTGACTTTTTATCCTTGTTTCTGGATGATATTTTCTGGCAAAATTTGACAGAGAAAACCAACCCCCAGCCCACCAATTGCATATAGCAAAGCCCAACTCCTACAATGCCAAAAATTTCAAGGATGCCACAGTGGAAGAAATGAAGGCTTTTCTTGGACTGAGGATCTATATGGAATACTTGTGCCCAGCTATTGGGGTTATTGGACAAATGAGGGCTCTGACTGTTGGGTTTGCTCCCGGGTTTCAAAATTTTATGATTTGAGACAGATTCCTGGCCCTTTAGAGTTTTTTTTTTTTTTTTTTTTTTTTTTTTTTTTTTTTTTTTTTTTTACATATTATTAATGAGGAAGGCACAGATGTGGATAAGACAGACAGAATATATAAAGTCAGGCTTATTTTTGGACAGTCTGCTGCCCAAGTTTCTCCACTTCTATCTGCCAAAGAAACATTTGAGCCTAGATGAGGGGATGATCCTGACAAAGAAACTGCTTGGCCATCAAGCAGTATTTCAAGGATAAGCCCACAAAGTGGGGCATTAAGTCTTTCCTTCTCTGTGAAGGTGTGAGACTTGCTACATTTTGAATGCAGAAATCTACACTGGTGCTGCACCAATGCCTATAAAAGACCTCGGCGCAGTAGGAAATACAGTCGTTCGACTCCTGACCTCATGTGTAATGGAAAATAAATCTCATGTGCTTGTCATAGATCTGTACTACAACTCTGTAGCCCTTGCTAAATATGCACTGTCAGATTTACACACCAGAATTGTGGGAACCCTGCAGCAAAACAGAAAGCAGTTTCCTAAGTCCCTGAAAAGTGTGTGTTTTTTTAAAACTTGCTAGGGGTGACAGTCATTATCTATGTCAAGAAAGTGTAACATGTTTAGTTTGGCAGGATAGAAAGCCCATCACATTTATTTCAAACTACCATGATCCAGCCCAGAATGGAGTCAGAAACAGAAGAAATAAAGATGGCAGTCTGCAAGAAATACAGATACCACAGCTGGTGAAGGACTATAAAAAATATATAGGCGGCTGTGACAAAAATGACCCACCTTCACCGGTCTTGTCGTCATTACTGCTAGCCCCGGCGGCTTTTCATAAAATATTTTTTATGTGGGCTACTTATAATTCTCATATTTTGTATGCTTCAAAGCAGCAAGCTGCTTCAAAAAAGCTAGTTTATTTCACGCTACATGTTCAGAAACTGTACCTGCAACTTATTGATGGATACAGGGCATCAGACCACCGCCACACACAAAAGGAACCCTGCCCTCAATGGATGACCCCAGGCAATCATTTTCCAGAGATTCCTCCTGGGTCATCATCTAATCACGTCTGTGTTGTGTGCATGGAAAAGCACTCCAGATACAACAAGTAAAATCCTGGAGTGTCTTACAAAGACAATCCATACCAGAGGGTGAAGAGCCACATCTGGTGCTCACTTTGCAAGAAGTACCTCTGTGTGAAACAAGGCTCATCCTGCTGGGTGGCTTGGCACACAAAGTTGGAATATTGGCGCTAGATAAAAGGTAGGCCTAATTTCTATAGTCTCCAAGTTTCATCTAATTCTAACTACTTGTCTACATGTAACTAACATTTTTCTACATCATGTCGGCTTTTTTCTCTTTAATGCTCAGGAGCCCAGGTAATGGGGATAGTTAGGTTCAGGGTCTTAGGTCTTGTAGGGTTAAGCCACTGGTTGTATGGGATGACATTCTGCTCTTTGCCACTGTGGTTAGCTCTGTCTACAAAGCTACAAACTCAGCATTTCTGACTGCAACTCAATCCTGCAAATGTTGCTTAACCATTTATTTCTGCTACAGTCTGTCTTCAAGAAGCCCAGTAACATCAAGTCCATTCATACTCTTAGCAATCTCTTTCTAAGCACATGTTAGATGCGGTGTTAGTATTCTTTGCTTCCCACAAAGACCTGGATAACACACTGGCAAAAGCAAAGATTACTCTAACGAGAACTTACCACTAATACAGTCATCATCTCCGATGATCACCTCAAGATAGATTAAACCTTTTCTGTACAAACCTGCAACCAAAAATAATGGAACACATTTCAGAAGTCAATAATATAATTATGTGTGGGACTGTGAGTTTTAGCACATGTGACAGATGCCTTTTGCATCATTTACTTTAAATGTGCGAGCTTCATGATTTTTCTGGGACTGACATGTTTATCAATAGTTTTCAAATGGTGAAGGACATTTTGCATATCTCCACTCACAAAGAAAAGCAGCACTTATGGGACAACCTGTCTGCAGTGAGATTTAAACCTCTACTAACTAATATAATTATGGCATTCTTCAGCACAAATTTCACACTTTAACACTGTACTCATTTATGACACACTTTCAATATGCACTTATCAATAATTGTGGCACACTCAAAGTATGTGCTCATTTGTGGGACACCAACGGTGAACTCATTCATGGCCCATTTTATCGCTGTACTCACCTACAAACAGTTATAGATTGGAGGAAGAAATGTATGTAGCCGATAAAGTTGAATGTTGAAATAAGAATCTTTAATACTGCACTAACTCAAGGGATATGCATACATACGTTAACACTGCACTCTCTCAAGGCACATTTCAAAACTGTACTCACTCATGACAAACTTTAACTCACAGATCACTTTAACATGGGATTCACCAACAGCACACTTAAACACTGCATTCACTTAATGGCATAATCCAACACTGCATTCATTCATGGGGAAAAAAATCAACACTCTTTTTAGTCTTCACCAGTTGTGAAATCTAGCAAAAGTTCTGGTTATTTCGCTCCTCTGGACTTTGGTCTTGTTCTAGACTTGAGTTTTGCATGCACATCTGTTTCAGAGATCTGGCTTACTTGTATGCAGACTGTTGGTTCCTTGCTTCTCAGGCAGAGGCACTCTGACTTGTGAAGGCAATCCTCATAATTAGTAATCTTTTTATGACACACTTGCTAGCAGGTCAATGGGTTTTTATTTTCCCCCCAAAATGGGATTCCGGAACCCACACAGGAAAACATTATTCTAAGACAGAAGATCCAGCCTAGTACTCACTGTGGACAACTTCTCTGTCTAGCTCACCAGCCGTCTGCGGTCCAGCGTCAATGATTATATCAATGACTTTTTTCTCATCATTGCCACATAACTGAAAGGTAATTGAGCAAAACACTATACTGGCATAAACAAATGTAAATGAGTAAAACACTATCTTGGCATAAACAAAGGTAAATGAGTAAAACACTATCATGGCATAAACAATGGGTAAGATAAATGAGCAAATCACTATCTTTGCAATGGGTAAGATAAATGAGCAAATCACTATTTTAGCAAAAACAATAGGTTAGATAAATGAGCAAATCATTATCTTGGCACAAACAATGGGTAAGGTAAATGAGCAAAACACCATCTTCACATCAAATTGGTCAAGATTACTGAATACAGGGATTGTAGAAGTGTAGTTAGAATAAATCAGGGAACATCTCATCCTTTCACAGTGACATCTGGAGTAAGACAGGGGTGTGTCTTATCACCACTGCTGTTTATCACCTACATCGACAGTATATGCAAGAATGCCAAGCCCATAAATGAAGATCTTAGTAAGATCAACGAATTACTCTTTGCAGATGACCAGGCCTTGATAGCAGATACAGCCATGAAATTGCAACAACATCTAACATCCATGAATGAAGAATGTAAAGTAAATAATCTGAGAATCAACACTGAAAAGACAGAAGTAATGTCAATAGGAAAAAAGAAGACAGATCTAAACATAGCAATAGAATACAAAGGCATTAAACAGGCATCTGAGTTTAAATATCTGGGAACTACATTTACCGAAGATGGGAAATTGGATAAAGAAATTAACATTAGATGCAGTAAAGCAAACCAAGTATTGGGACAGCTAGCACCCCTCTTACAGCATAAGACAATCCCAATCAGCACAAAGAGACATCTTATTCAAAGCATATTTATTCCAACTCTGTGCTACCAGTGCCAGACATGGTCACTCACAACAAACCATAAAAGAAAATTAGTAACCACGGAAATGAGATGTCTGAGAAGGGCTGTAGGAGTGACCATAAGAGATAAGATCAGGAATGAGATTATAAGAGAACAAGTCGGCACAGAACCAATTCTGGATTACATACAAAGACAGCAAGTGAAATGGTTTGCCCACTTAGAGAGAATGCCTTGTGACACCATACCATACAAAGCATACATGGAAAGAGAAGAAGGATGTAGAGCACGCGGTAGACCAAAAACAAGATGGAAGGATAACATCAGAGAAACTCTACAACAGCACGATGTGCCTATGGTCGAGGCAGCCAGTAGAGCTAGAAGCAGACACTTATATCTCCCTTGACACCCACAGCGGTAAAAGAGGAAGTGAAGAAGAAGAAGAAGATTACTGAACAAAACACTTCCCACCCACCAATTGGGGGGGGGGGGGGGGAGAGAGAGAACAGAACCTCTGACCTCCTAACAAGCATCTTGTTAAAGGTAACTAATTTGGGGGCCTTTCCTTCAAAGTAGAATGCATCTGTTTGAGCTGAGAAACGAGGAACCAATAGTCTGCATACACAAAAGCCAGAATTTTAAAATGGATATGCACATAAAACTCAAGCCCTCAAACAAAAATAAAGTCCAGAAGTGGATAAACAACCAGAGTTGTCTGCCAGAGTTTACAGCCGGTGAATACTTAGATGATGCAGAAGAAGAGCAAACATAAACTTGGCATTAGCAAGGTAAAAGTAATTGAGCAAAACACCATCCTGGCATAAGAAAGGTAAAGAGATGAGTAACAGGGTCAAGACAAGGATAGAGTATAGTAATTTTCCTTAACTGTTATTTCCTCTAACAACACATTTCTAAAAATTTCTGTTGACAATACAGTGATGTCCCTAACAATACAGTAGTTTCTTCTGCAAGTTCCTCTACCAATATTGCAGGACTCGCCAATGCTACAATGTTTAACAATGGAGAAATGCCCCTAAAAATACAACAATTTCTGTTGAACCGACAGCAATTTTCCCTACAATTACCTCTAACAAAGCAAAAAACATTAAGTTCGGTGTAGGAAAGTCAATGTATATAGTAAAAATAACTGTTAGTTTAATGTAGGAAAGTCAATGTATATAGTAAAAATAACTGTTAGTTTAATGTAGGAAAGTCAATGAATATAGTAAAAATTACTGTTAGTTTAATGTAGGAAAGTCAATGTATATAGTAAAAATAACTGTTAGTTTAATGTAGGAAAGTCAATGTATCTAGCATAAATAACTTTTAGTTTAATGTAGGAAAGTCAATATATCTAGAATAAATAACTTTTAGTTTAATGTAGGAAAGTCAATGTATTTAGCATAAATAACTTTTAGTTTAATGTAGGAAAGTCAATGTATCTAGCATAAATAACTTTTAGTTTAATGTAGGAAAGTCAATATATCTAGAATAAATAACTTTTAGTTTAATGTAGGAAAGTCAATGTATCTAGCATAAATAACTTTTAGTTTAATGCAGGAAAGTCAATGTATCTAGCAAAAATAACTTTTAGTTTAATGTAGGAAAGTAAATGTATCTAGCATAAATAACTTTTAGTTTAATGTAGCATAAATAACTTTTAGTTTAATGTAGGAAAGTCAATGTATCTAGAATAAATAATTTTTTAGTTTAATGTAGGAAAGTCAATGTATCTAGAATAAATAACTTTTTAGTTTAATGTAGGAAAGTCAATATATCTAGAATAAATAACTTTTAGTTTAATGTAGGAAAGTCAATGTATCTAGCATAAATAACTTTTAGTTTAATGTAGGAAAGTCAATGTATCTAGCATAAATAACTTTTAGTTTAATGTAGGAAAGTCAATGTATCTAGCATAAATAACTTTTAGTTTAATGTAGGAAAGTCAATGTATCTAGCATAAATAACTTTTAGTTTAATGTAGGAAAGTCAATGTATCTAGCATAAATAACTTTTAGTTTAATGTAGGAAAGTCAATGTATCTAGCATAAATAACTTTTAGTTTAATGTAGGAAAGTCAATGTATCTAGCATAAATAACTTTTAGTTTAATGTAGCATAAATAACTTTTAGTTTAATGTAGGAAAGTCAATGTATCTAGCATAAATAACTTTTAGTTTAATGTAGGAAAGTCAATGTATCTAGCATAAATAACTTTTAGTTTAATGTAGGAAAGTCAATGTATCTAGCATAAATAACTTTTAGCTCCATGTAGAAAAATCAATGTATCTAGTATAAATGACTTTTAATTCAAGGCAAGGAAGTCAATGTAATCAGCATAAACAACTTTTAGCTCAATGTCAATACATCCAGCATTAATAAATGGCAGCTCAATGTAGAAAGTCAATTAATCTAACATAAATAACCTTTAGTTCAATCTAGGAAAGTAAATGCATCTAACATAAACAACTTTTAGCCTTATGTTCAAAGTCACTGTATTTAGCATAAACAACTTTTAGCTCAATGTATCCAGCATCCAGCAAAATAATGTTTAGCTCAATGTAGGAAACTGAATGTATCTAGCATAAATAACTTTTAGCTTAGTATAGGAAAATCAATGCATCTAGCATAAATAACTTTTAGCTCAGTTTTCACTGAGCATCTAGCAGAAATAAATCTGAGCTTAATGTAGGAAAGTGAATGTCATCATCATCATCAGGTGCCTTGCCAACTGGCGTAGGCGATCATTCCTCTACACAACCTGCGATCTCCTGCAGCATGTATTAGTTCAGGTGCTGACACACCTCCATGCCATGCAACAAGACTGTCAAGAATCCTCTCTCGTTGTCTTCCTCTATAACTCCTTTCACAGATCTTTCCAGTGGTCACATGTTCCGTTTTTCTTCATCTCATAACATGGCCGAAAAATGATGACTGTCTCCTTCTGATGTCTGTGATAAGTTGCCTGCGGGCTCCCGCCTCTTTCAAAACCTCTTGGCTGCTCTTTTTTGGTTTAAGCATTCTTCTGTAAAACCACATCTCTGAGGCATCAAGAAATTGTTTGGCCTGCCTACTGATTGTCCAGGACTCACAGCCATTAAAGTGAATGTATATAGCATAAATAACTTTTAGCTCAGTGTAAGAAAATCAATGCATCTAGCATAAATAAATGTTAGCTTTATTTAGGAAAGCTAATGTATCTAGAATCTAGCATAAATAACATTTAGCTCAATGCAGGCAAATCAGTGTATCTAGCATAAATAAGTTTTAGGTCAACGTAGGAAGATTAATTATCTAACATAAACAACTGTTAGCTCAGTTTAAGAAAGTCAAAGCATCTAGCATAAAAAAGTTTTAGGTCAATGTAGGAAAGTTAGATGTATGTTACCTTAATATCATCTTCAGTAATAAATCCAACTTGTACAACCCACCATGGTTCAATAGGCACACCTTCTATTGGCTGACTCGGCAGTAAATCTTTCACAGGACGTTTCCTAAAGAATTTCTGAACCCAAAAAAATAACATTCATTAACTGGTGCCTGTGCAGAAAAAAAGGAATTAAATATAAATAGTATGTGGGAGAGAACTAAAGAACTTCCCGTAAAGGTACCTTTTCCACACCTTTAGGCGTATAAGGCATATAGGGCTAGACCTATATTTTATAGACCAATCGGCACAAGATGGGAGATGTGGTCAGCATCACGCCAGCCGCCTTTACTTTCCAGTACTGCACTCGGTACCCACTCAAGGCTGGGTTGACCTGGGAATTGAGGTCATTTTTGAAAAATTTCCGGCTCCGCCAGGGAGCGAACGCATGACCCTCCGATCCACGGCGAGCATCTAGCCGCTTCACTGCGGCAACCCACTAAAGAAGTTCCAGTGAACAAAAAAAAATTATTATTTAACTGGTGCCTGTGCAGAATATTGGTAATTAAATAGTATGATAAAATCACTAATGTTGGGCACTGGGAGAGAACTAAAGAAGTTCAGTGAACAAAAAAGTATATTCATTAACTGGTGCCTGTGCAGAATATTGGTAATTAAATGGTATGATAAAATCACTAATGTTGAGCACTGGGAGAGAACTAAACAAACTCCAGTGAATCAAGAGGTGGGGAAGAAAAGACACTGGTGTGGATACAACACATTCGAAAAAGGCAGAGAACAATTTAACTAGAAGGGCCTTAGACTGGAACCTACAGGAAAATAAAGTCAGAAAAGACACACCGAAAAGGGAACTAGAGAGAGAAGTTTAAAATGGGGAGGACATGAAGTGAGCTGCATGTGACAGCAAAGGATAGGATGACCTGGTGTGACTTGGTTGACCGGCTATTCTCTAACTGGGGAACAATGGGCAGAAGAAGAAGAGGACAGAAATCCTTGGAAGTCAAAGGAAACTGAAACTTCAAACTCAAATTAATAACTACAAGTGCTGTGCACACGCACCCAAGTGGTAAACATACAATGATTGCCCACATCTCCCCTTTCCCCTTCTAACACTAGAAGCTCCTGGCATACTCTGCTGCTGACAAAACACTCGGAGAGTTATTCAACACCACAGTCAATATGAGTCTGGCTGATAAGCACAGGTGGTCATGTTTCGCCATCTCACCAGATCAAGAGAATCATGGATCAGGTCAGTGCTCTTGTCTTGCCCCCATCCATATGGTCAAGCCATCCAGGTATTTACATCTTTGCTTTCCCCTTGGCTCCTGTCTTGACAGTTGTAACCAAGTTCTCAAGTCCATTTATTCTCTGAACATCTCTCTCTCTCTCTTCCCCCTCCTCGTTCTCCCCACCAACACAAATTACACACAACTGACTATCTTGGTCTAACCAGTTCTCTTACCAGTTTATGACTTTCATCTATCTCGAGGAGAATGCCTCGGTTGTTTTCCCATATTTTTGTGATGTTCTCTGCTTTTCTTCTCAAAAACCACACCCCCAATGCAAGTAGGCGATTTCTCTGCTTATAATCTACATCTCAAACAACAACACAGGTTCTATGTAGCATTAAAAAAACAACAGCATACCTTCGATGACCGACACTGGTTCATCAAATCAATATACTGATTGCGTCCAATACCCAGCAGCCTCAAACCTGAAATTGACCATTTCCACAGACTAATGGCAATCATTAACAACAAGTGTGACAGTCTGGTGACTGTAATTGATTAAGAACAAGCAACTCATCATCATATAGCAGACCCTTTGCAAAACATCCCTCTCATTACAGTCTGCCTGAAAAAAACTCATTCTCCCACCAGCACCCGCACCTCATACACTTCCATATCCAAGGAGTCACTTATACCCTGTGACCATCTTCATGTTGGTCTGTCTCCTTCCTCATGCCATCCTTCTGCTATTATGTGTTGTTGTTTTTTTTCAATCCGCTGTGGTGCCTGAAGTGGGGAAGAGAAGAGGCTTAGCCACATTCCTTTATGTTCATATCTTTTAGAATGTCAGTACTTCTTTTCTTCCTTGTCCATGGTACTCTGAGAATCTTTCACAGCATTACAGCTCAAAGCACCTATTCTCTTCCTTGAAGACTGGGAAATAGTCCATGACTCACATCAATATGTTCCTACAGGGAAAATGCATGCTCAAAAAATGTTAATTTTGATTTTCTTGCTGGCGATATCTATTTTGTTTCTTTAAAGTTCTCTGTCAACAATGGAAAGCTTTCCCTGATACATGCTCCTAAGATTATATCTTCCCAACTTTTAGTTTAGCCCAGTGATAAAGTCTTTCAGTGTAGTACCGTCTGGCTCAAGACCATCACCACAACTACCCTTACTAGCTCTGTCATAATTTTCTTTCCCAGTTCATGTGTTTGTGATCTGCCTGGCCTTGGGGCCTCACCCTCATATCTTTGGGTTTCCTTTCTGGCTTCGATGATAAGTTTCATGGATAATAATGTGGTAGTTTCCTCTTGCTTTCCATATCCACATGGCTTTATACCATGTCCTCAGCCTTTGGTAACCTTTTAGGTTACCAAGGCAAGTGAGAGCCCAGCTCTGTGTTACTCCTCAAACTACAAGACGACAGACAGACAGGCACAAAATATAAAGAATCCATTCTACACCAGTGGCGCATTGGGTACATGATGCTTGACCCTATTTTTACAGATCAATCAACAATCAGTGGGTTGGTGTGGTCAACATCAGCTGACTGCCTTATCTCATTACTTGGTACCCATTTTAGACTGGGTCAACCAGTGAGTCAAGGTCAATTTTAAAGAAAAAAATCTGATTTGATGAGGATGAAAACCATGACCTTCAGCCTCTGTGATATCACGGGGCCAAGAACAAATAAAGTACAAAATAAAATCATTAATGTATTAGAAAGCAACAGCTGGTCAAGATGCTAGAATCACATTTAAGAGACCCAGGTTCAAATTCACTGTGTTGGAAATAGTTCATATCAGATGAAAAAATTAATAATTCTAACCTGCGAAGTCCATGGCATCTGCACTATCCAGTGGCCCTAAATTATCAGGCTCGTGACTCCCCTCCCCTCCCCCCTCTTTTTTTCCATCCCTACACTGCCCCAAAAAGTGATAAACCTTCTTATTTTGTCCTACTACTTATGCTGTAAAGATGTAGTTTCCTATCTTCTGCTAGTCGCACAGCTTGTGTTAATGACATACTGTGTTTCTGTAGTGTCTCTTTTACTCCCTCCACCCATTTCTTTCTTGTTCAGCCTCTTGACTCGTAGCCTGCTATTCCCAAGTGGTAACCTCTAGCTGCTGGCTGATTATGTTCCATTCTGAGAGGGAAGAGAAGTGCCTGGGGGTTCGTAGCTAAAGCCAATGGAAAATCTTTAGTGCAAGACAGCCTAGCCTATGACACCACAACATCTAGCATGAGAATGGAGGTGGAGGTGGTAACTGCAGCTCTCCTGTGGCTAGATAACAAGATGCATACACATGTCGTAATTGTAACAGACTCTGAAAGCATGCTGAAAAAGGTGAAGACAGGGATGCTTCGAGCAGAGTGGCAAGCTTCACTGGAAAGGTCCCGGGTAGTGAGCATACTTTTGATCTTTTCTCCAGGCTATGCCAGCGTGGTGGGTAACGAACAGGCAGACAGATTGGCTGGATCTGCACCACTGGGTGGTGAATTGATACATGACAAGGCAGATGTGCTCAAGGCCCTTTGGGAACAAGCAACGGAATCAGTAGAGAAAGAAGATGATTATGGCCTGGAGAGAATGAAACACCTGGGTGTAACCAGAGGGTCTGGCCGGCTGACTACACTCAGAGTAAAGGCAAGATGGACATTTAACCAGATTGTGACCAGTACCATCAATACTAGAACTCTGCGCTGGCTGCTGAAGATGAGGACGGAGCATGCATGGGAATGCCCCGAGTGCTGTGATGTCATTTCTTGACTCAACTCAACTCTTACCAAACTGAATGCAATCCTTTACTAGTACTGTGCCTAATATTTTTCTTTGTTTTTCGTTGGTTACTCTATCTCTTCTTGTTCTTCCTGCTGCATTTCTCATAATCTCATCACGCATGTTGTAATTTCGTGTTTAGGTTTTCTTCGAAAATATAGGCGGTAAAGACCATATTTTTAATCAAGTTTGAAATGTTGCACACAAGTGCACATATTAAGCTCCCAAATAACAGACAAGGGACGTCATAGTTGGAATAACGTATACACATTTTCCATTCTCAAATAATATTTTGTATCTGGAAATATTTTCAAAAGAGACACTACAAAATGTTGACATAGACAATACTCACAATCCGCAGCGGTAAAGTTGGGCAGGGAATCATAGCTCTTCTCCTGGTTCATAATGTCTTGCATCATGTTGCTGTAGTAGGCAAATGGAGTGACCCGCAACCCTTTGACCATGATGTCAGACAGATGGTAAGGGTACAACATCAAGTGCTCTCTGCTGTACTGTAAAACATCCTCATAGTAACGCTGCTCATCTTTGCGTATTGTACGAACTGTGGACAATTACAGTTTTTCATATGTGCCTTGACTCACGTCACTGATATAAAATGAGTTATACAAAGCTAAGGGTTTAGAGGGCAACAGTTTCACCAGTACTATACTATTCTATGTAATCTATATTTGTCAACTGAGACTAGAAAGAGAATTCTTAAAATCTATATACATCCTATCTTGATATATAGAAGTGAATCATGGACAGTTGGTTGATTAGTTCAAATTTATTTGGAAGCTCAAGGTCAGCATGGGCATACACAGAGCAAAGAATGGGGACAACAATTCAAGAAGACAGCAGCGCTTACCAGGAACCACATCAAGCATGACAATGGAGATAGCTGCTGCTTCTAGAGCACTAGCATGGGCATCAGATAGAGCAAACAGCCACACAGGCAATAATTGTATCAGACTTCATGAACATGTTTCAGAAGATAACAACAGGCGGTATGCGCTCTGAATGGGTACAAAACATCCGAAAATCAATTTTAACCTCCCTCACCTGGATCTACACACCTGGTCATGAGGGTGTAAAGGGTAATGAACCGGTCCCAACAACTGGCAAGCAATGCACCAACTCATGTTGGAAGAAGCATGGACAGAACAGATATCATCAACGCTGTATGCACTGGCCTAGTAGATAAAGAGGAATCTCTGACACTAACACAATTGTGGGACATAGGAGTAAAGCATGGTGAAGCACGTATATGCCGCCTTAGAGGCCGAGTTAGGAGACATTACAACAAACTTCTCATGTGAATAATTAGAAGTACCTTGGAGTGGCTGCTGCATCGGAGGACTGAGCATCCATGTGAATGCCCAATGTGCAGTGATGTCGAATGTGATAACATAACATAAACTATAACAACTTATAACCACATAAACTATAACAACTTATAACCACATAAACTATAACAACTTATAAACACAAAACTTACTTAAGTTTCCTTTGTAACGTAACTGATTCTTCACACTGAATGCCACAACAGCCTTTTCATACTCCCTTTGTGAATTACCATAGCTCTGAAGGAAGAAACAAAAGTGAATCATTATTCTTATCTCCCAATGTGGGTTTTTGAGCCCCATTGTGAGGAAAACAAGAACAGATCCACTGCCTCTCCAACAAGCATGTCGTAGGAATTGACTAACTGGGGACTTCCTTCGAAGTCGGAGTGCATTTGCCCGAGTGGCAAATAACAACCAACTGCACACAAATAAGCCAGTAAAACTGATGTACATGCAAAACTCAGGCTCTGGCACAAAGCCAGAGTCCAAACGGACGAACAGCCAGGACTTTTCACTAGAATTTACAGCCAGTAAACAAAGAAGAAAAAGAAATATTCTTATCTTGAAAAGAAGTCAGGGGCCCTTTTTACGTCGGTGACCCATCAGCAAAACGCTAGACTCTTATTTTTTTCAAATTAAGCGACATTTGGCAGGTAGTCTAGTCAACATCATGCTGACTGCCTTTACTTTCCAAGACATTACCTAGCATCCATTTTAGGCTGTGATCACCTGGAAGCCGAGATCAATTCTGAAGACAAAATCCACCATAATAAAGATTTAAACTCAAGATCTTCAGGCTTGCAGGTCTGACTGTCTAGCCACTATGCTACCACAGTTCCCTGAACTCTTATAGTTCCAAACAACTCACCACGCATTTACTAGTTACCCTTTACCCAATATAACTGTCACAAATCCCTATTCCTCATCTACCTGGTACCTTAACCTCTTCTATCTCGATGGTTACTATAACTCATTTTGTTAAATAAAGTTATTATTTCAACCTGTTCAGATCCCAGTCATGTCTTATTTAAAGTAGAAAGAAATGTTCAGAATGTAATGAACTGTTGCAGTAACTGTCCGTTATCAAAAGAGTTATATTAAAATAATATGTATTGAGAAGTATATAAGGATAGGGTTCTTCTTTCATATATGGATATCTGGCAGGGTGTTAGCGCATAAACTGATACATGCTGTTAGCCGCAAGTTGTGGAGAGGCATGGTCACCCACACCAGTCGGCACGGCACTGGATGATGATGATGATATTGAGAAGCGTGAAGGATGTATGATTCTCTTATATCTAGATAAGACTGGTTTTCTTTCCTGGCATTGGCTCTGAGCAGCCTAGGACCCAGTCTTGTGCACTAGGACCCAGTCTGCTGACAATGACATACCACCCCTAGAGGAAATATAGGCAAACAAGGCCTAACTTAGTAGTCATCATCAAGTGCCATGCTGTTAAGCATAGGCTGTCATGTTTTGCCATCTTAGTCACCAGAATCACAGATTAGGTCAGTGTTCTTTGTCTCACCACCATCCATGCGGTCAAACCATCCAGGTATTCATCTCTCTGCCTTCTCCTTTCTCTATTTCCATCAGTCTTGCCAGTTCTTGAGCCCATTTCTTCTCATTCTGACAAAACACAGACTGTCCATGTCAACTATTCTAATCAGGGTAGGGGGTATCCTTCCCAAAGGAAAAATGGTGCCAGAGTAGGGGGTATCCTTCACCAAAGGAAAAATGGTGCCGGAGTAGGGGCATCTGGAGAGAGTGGTGCAGCGAGGAATGACCAGGGGATCTGGCCAACGCTCAACACTCAGGGGTGGGGCAAGATGGACATACATGCTTTGCATGGTCTCCACGCTAACAGAGAGCCAAGCGGAAAATCCGTGCGACAAACAACCGCACGTGTCTTGGGGCCAGTTGAGTAGACGTGGGCAGGCCCGAGCTAGACACGTGGTCAGTTGGTTACCAGAAGTCATAGAAGACAGTTGTGTTAATAGAAGATGTAGTTTCAAAGTCTTGAGGATGATTAGTGGATGTTTAAATAATTGTTGGAACAATGTGGGAGAATGTGATCGAATAAACTGACAGAAGTGTATAAACAAACTGAGAGCCATTTGTGTTATCAATCTTTGACGTTAGAGCAGTGCAAGTAGCTAAGTTGCAGTAATCATATAAAGCCAAATTGTGCGAAGCAGATACGTTGTCAGGGAAGGTACATCGCAAGCAGGATGTTACTGGTACCATCGGAACTGGAACTCTGCACTAGCTGCTAAAGATGGGGACAGAGTGCTTATGGGAATGTACAGAGTGCTGTTATGTTGTTTTTTTAAACTGATAACTCATGGTTTTACATTGATCCTTAGGCCACTTGCTAGAATTGTGTGGGCTTCCAGTTGAATAGCAGCACCCTCTTTAACCTCTTCTGTATGAGAATGATAGTGTTATCATTTAAACCTATTCTGACTGAAATAAATAGTACTTTATGTATACACTTCCTATGAAAGGACAGGCTAAATAAAATCTGCCTGGCGCTGAAAGAATTCGTGCTGACGAATTATCTCTAGACAGACTGGGGAGGTGCAGTGCATTTTACCCCACTAGGACATCACGAAAGCAATAAACACCAGATGACACAAAGTGCCACCATGTGGATGAGGATCACCCGTGGAGAGGTCCCGGAAACCGCGTTTAGCCATTAGGCCATATTAATGCCGGGCTATATTGCGGTCCCTGGCTAGAGCTAGGACGGGGCTTCGAAATGACGAAAAATTGCATCCCACAAGGGGATTACGGACACTTATAGGATATATATAGATATATATATATATATAGCCCTATTTAGGTGTGTAATTATATGTTATTATTATTCGCGTTCACCAGCTGTAAACTCTGGCGGAAAGTTCTGGTTGTTCGTCCACTTTTGGACTGCAGTCCTGTTCCAGATCTGACTAATGTGTGTGCAGACTGTTGGTTCCTTGCCTCTCAGGTAAATGCTCTCCGACTTTGAAGGAAGCTCCCAATTAGTCGACTTTTACGACATGCTTTTGGGTAGGCAGTGGGTCTATTCCTGTTTTTCCCTATAACAGGGCTCCAGAACCCACAGGCGGATAATTATATATTCGGTCAGCATAAGTAAGAAACTATGCCCCACTCTGTCTGGACTTCAGGTCACTTTGTAACCGCACCAGACCCAATGTAACCTTGCGGTTGAACTGGTTTCTTTGATTGGTACCTACGAAAAGTGACACTGCGTCACCGCTTGTTATTTTTCAGAGTGCAGTTCCACTTCACTCGTGTGGATTGCGACAGGCCTATCAAGGTGGCAGTTTATTCAATGTTGATACACAGATTATGTACAAACGCGCAGATCGAGCAGAAACTCGATAACAGTAGAATATGACTAAGGTCGAGGGGTCACAAGTGTAAGAGCCTGCACAAGGGACCTGACACAAAGAAAATATGGTGGTTTCAAAATTTTCGGGGGTGCCTTATTAAGTGCGCAATTATACACACATATATATACCTATTTATCTGGGGTGTCTTATTTAAGTGCGCAATTTTATACACACACACACACACACATATATATATATATATATATATATATATATGCCAGACTCGCTAGCGTAGTTGGCAAACCTGACTTCGCGACGACCGGGTGACGAACTCCTTGTGGTCCGGGTTCACGCCCGGGGGTAGGCAGAAAAGCCACATTTCTCCCAGATTTACGGTATTTATCATGGAATAGGCCGAAGGGTTGCGATATCCATAGTATAGAGCCAAAGGGTTTAAGAACTCATTGTTTCTGGATATTTAAAAAAAAACATATGTGTGGTTTGTTTCAACTTCCCGTGCCAGTGATCAGAAACTTGTGTCTGCCTCGACGCCTAAGACCGTCATCATTCTTTGATCATGCTATGAGAAGAAGTGGAATATGTCGTGGCAGTGTCAACACACAGATACTTGTTGACAATCGCTGATTTTGAACAAGCATGAACACTGGTTTAGAGAGTATGTTCCACACCAGATGAAGAACACTGGTTTAGTTGAGTTGAGTCAAGGATTGACA